TCAACATAACATGGAAATATATTCTGATTGTCTCTCTTGCATGCTGGGGTAAAATGATTAAATATTTAAATGATAATTTCTATATTCTGTATAGGTGTTCCTTTACTGCCTGTAGCAATAGCACTATCAGTAGATGTGGATCATTATATTACATCTTATGAAAACACTGAAGAAGGATTGTAAGTTAATAATGATGCATTCATGTAAATGTATCTTCTTCATAGTTGTTTCATTGGACAGCTAAGTGGGTTCTTAACAGCTTTCTTAGTTCCTGTTATGCTTATTCTCATATTCAATTTGGTAATTTACATTCTTATTCTTCGTGTTCTTATCTTGCATGCTGTGAGAAAAAACAAGCGGCTACAAAAATCATCAATGACTCCATCAGAAGCAGTCAAAATGATACTGTCTTTCACTGGTATAATGTTCCTCCTTGGTTTGACATGGATCTTTAGTATCTTCACTTTTATTTCTGAGCCTGGAGTTTCTTATGCCCTTCAGTTCTTATTTGCTTTCTTCAATGCTTTCCAAGGATTCTTTATATTCATATTTTTTGTTGTACTGAGCAGTGATGCAAGAGCAGCATGGAAATCCCTATTGTGTCCATGTCTTGTGAAAGAAGGGCAAAAGACATCAAAATATTATCTTTCTTCTTCAAATAACAAGAAGAGGTTGTCCAATGACACTAGCTCTAACACTTATTCTTCAAGCACCTTTGATTCAAAAGAAATAACTTTAAATGAAAAATCTGTTCCAGCCAAGTTGTCAGAAGCTGATAATAAAAATGCCCTTCCTCCTCTGGTTGAAGAGGAGGATGGCCTATCTGATCGTGATAGTCAAAAGAAAAGTGGTGACTTGGATTTGGTTCAACTCAAAGGAGCTCATGTCAAACATCATTCAACTTGTAAGAACACTCATGTTGATTCTTATGACAATGATGAAAAAGATGCTCATAAGAACAAATTTTAACTGTATTTTGTGTGTTTTGGTTCTGAGTATTGCTCTATTTTTACTTTTAAAGTAATACTATTAATTGCTGATGTAGAATAGATCTAAATCTCCTTCCTACAATACTAAAAATTAAAAGTGATATGATCTTATTTTAAAAAGTAATTGTATAAATTATTCATAAATGCCAACAGCATCCTGGTAGTAGCTTGATGGAACAGCTTAAAGTTGCTCCAAAGGACCATAGTACAGTGTGTATTTGTGTATTTGTACTGCGATCAAAATTTGTATGATACAGTATAAAATAATTACTCCAATGTAAATCGAGTTATAATTATTTTTACTGTTAGAAACAGAATCTTAACGATCAAGTGATTGAGTTCAAATCAATAGACAGAATGGATCACCTGCTAGTAGTCTGTTATATTAATTTCCTGTTGTACTGAAGCCACTCATGTACACTTGTATATATTTGACTACCAGCTACACAGCTATTAGTTGTTCTCTCTTTCTTTCTCTCTGGTGGGTCAAAAATGTATTCATTCTCAAAAGTTATAGGAGCAATAGCTTTGTTCCTGTGTCTCTTATCTGTTGCAGCATCACGTGAGTTGATTGTTAAATTCTATGTATTTAATCACCCCTTGTTGTTACTTTTCTTATTATTATTGTTATTGTAATCTTATCCTGATTCTTTTGTATTAATATAATAATATTAACATATGCTATGTATCTATATAGTCAATGTACTTTGTTTTTGAAAACAGCAGAGTCATACCACCTATACATATGGTAGATCTTTACTAAACAATATCTACTCAGTTTTATGATTAAACAGTTTATAATATCATGCATTATAGCTTACCTAATTATAAATTATGATGCATGCTTCATTGCTTTTACAAGGTCATTTAGGACATGATAGTGTAAACTGTAAATTGAATGTATTTGGTAATTATGCTTAATTATATAATTTTACAAGTGTAGTCCAAATAACTGCTTTTACATTTGTTCAAAAACATTAGCTAATCACTACAAGTAGGAAAACTTAATTGGTTTATAATATGCATAATCTCAACTTATAGCGTAATATGCTACGTGCTTGTATGCAGTACCATTCATTCTTTTAGCATAAATACTAAATAGATAAGGTTTCATAGACTGGTTTACCTTGCTGTCAAAGTATGTCTATCTACATCAGCTACATGCACATTGTATATACTTGCAGCTACATCAAAAGTTGTATACATATAAATATGACAATATACAACCTGCAATAAAGAGAGGAAAACTTTCTTTAGTCTTCAGAGCATGATGCATGCGGCTGTAAGCATAGGCTATGCACTCTCAGTTTATAGCAGTATATGAAACCTTTGCCCCTCAATATCCGCCCTTGGCTTCATTTCAGGCAGATATCTTGAGGCTAGGGTCTCATATTACTGATATAGACCTCAAAAGCATACTATATATATTATATATGATCTGCAATTACATGTACTTTGCGTTCTATTTTTTAGCATTCACACTTTATATTCAAGGCCCAAATAAAAGTTTGATTGGTGATTCTTACACAATAAATGAAGGATATCCTTTTAAATTGTCATGTCATGTCTACCAACATAGTGGAATTATACCAAGGTGGCTTGACTCTAATGGAAATCAGGGTATGTGCATTAACATATAGCATATCATCTGTCAATACATTTTACTTTATAGTTCAGAGTGTGTCTGAGTTCTTCAACTCTAGTTTCACACCCACTGGCAATGATGGTAGAGTAAGGCTTAATGAAGGACTCTCACTTAGTGATTTCAGGGGACTATACAGTGTTTTGCATACAAGTGACAGTAATGAGAGTACAGGCAGCCCAACGATTGATGGATTTTACTTTTATAGGTTATTTGATAAGTTTTGATGATACTACTACTAGAAAAGGGGGAAATGGTGTTTTTCTCCTTCCTGACTTGAGAATTGCTGATACATATACATGTGTAGCTGGAAATCAATCTCAATCTGTTTCAGTTGTTCTCAGAAGTATAGATATAAAAATTTTGTGACCTTTTAACTTTAAGTTACAGGGCCCAGTGGAATGTTCTCTCAATTCTTTGTCAGATTCACTGGCTCTGTTTTAGATCCTAATGTAGACAGTGTGGATTATGAAATTGGATACATTGAAGCAGCTGTACGTATGGCATCTATTGTTTTGGTATTAGATTTTGTTATATTGGTAAATTGTTATAAAATCTTGATGTTAAATAGAGTCTTTATTAATAAAATAATTTCAATTTTTGCCTTTAATTAGATATTTTCTGAATTAGTTGTTAATAGACTAAATTACTCAAGTGATCCGATTCGAACAATATCCTGTGTTTTGGTTCCACAGTAAGTTATCAATCAATGCAATGATAATTTTTACATGTTGCAGTATTGAGACACCTAGTGATGCTAGCCAAAATCGTATAGAGTGTGATATAAGACAGTATCCATCAAACAGTTCATTTGTGGGGGATGTTGAAAACAGACTATCTAGTTTGAACAGAAAGTTTTCATATTTTTTCCAGCAAATAATGACATCAGGTAAAGACTATTAACTGAATGAGGAGTGCTAGTGTTGTTATTTTCTAGTCACTGGGTTTTGTAATCAAAGTCAAACTGAGTCACTGGATTTTGGTGCTCATACATGGCCAGAGTCAGTTGGTAATACTATACTTACAATGCCTTGTGGTAACCGTCCACTGATGAATGTCACTCGAATGTGTCAGACTAATGGAGTTGGCTGGGGAAATCCTGATTATAGTCAATGTGAAACTAGTAAGTATAAATGAGATATTGACTTGGTGGTTTATTATTGGTATATCACAGGTACTTGTGAAAATGACACTATTGTAACAAATCGTGGTACATTTCAATGGCCAATAACACCTGTTGAATCATTAGCTGACCTTCCTTGTCCTCATGGTCCTAATGGAGCTAGAGCTATTAGACAGTGTAGAAGGAATGGTGTATGGGACACTCATGATATATCAAACTGTACTGATCCTAGGATTACTGCTGCATTTGCCAGCATAGCTGATGTAAGTGTATACCAATTGAAGTATTTTAATTTGTATTGTTAATAGACTAATGTAACTGTTGAGAATGTTGTAGAAGTTGCTCAAAATCTCTCAGAAGTAGTGATGTTAGCAAGTCAGCCTGGTGATCAAAATGAAATTAATCTACGCAATGTATCATCACTCCTTATTCAAACTGCTAATTTATTCTCTAGTCCTGATATAATCATAATGTTATCTACTGAAGAGGTTTCTATGGTATGAATTAAACTATTTGTCAAAGTTGATTTATTACTTAATCATCATGCTTTATAGACAACAGAGAGCACTATTGAAATACTTAATAGCATACAAGAATGGCCACCACAAGTAATAGCTGCACAATCAAATAAGTATGGAGTATTATAATCTGTAAACTGATCAATTCATTGTATTTTCAGTATTGTCCAGTCATTTGAAAGGATAGTGGGTGCATTGATAAGTCAAGAGAACTTTACTAACTTGACAATCATTGAAACTGGCATTGCATTCCAGGGACTAAGAGTAAGCTAGATGAG